ATGTGTCTTGATATCTCTCTTACCCCACTTCTCTCTGGCTTGCTTGTTTAATCTCTTTATATCTCAAAAGAGATTGACTTAAGATACGCCCTGCACTAATCCCACCTCAATAACATAACAAAGACGACCCATTCCCAAATGGGATTATAACCACACAGGTTAGGATTTACAACATATTTTTTGGGAACACAATTCAATCCATAACACTGACTGTAACAGAATCAAACTAGAAATCAGTAACAGAAAGAAAACAGAAAACTATCCGAACACTTGGAAACTAAACAGTCTTCTAAATAATCTATGGGTCAAATAGGAAATCTCAAGGGAAATAAAAAAAACACATTGAACTGAATGAAAATACAAAGTATCAAAATTTTTGGGACACAACTACAACAGTAGGGAAATTTATAGCACTAAATGCATATACAGGCAGTCCCTGGGTTATGAACGTCTGACTTATGTACAATTTATAGTTATGAACCAAATCCCATAAGGCCTATTATACTAAAAATCTGAGGTGCATACAATGGTTCATAATAACAAATGGGTGCTACTTTGTGACATGCATCAAAACATTATTATTATTATTACTGTAAAAGATGTTTCAGTGTGTCTGGAAGTGTTTCTTTAATGTCTTTTATGCATAGAAAAGTACACTATATACTATTTACTAAGACAAACATTTGACTAACTGACTTTAGATACAAACCGTACCTAACCCTTCTGACTTACATACAAATTAGACTTAAAGACAGACTTAGGAATGGAACTTGTTTGTAATCTGGGGACTGCCTGTATCAGAAAAGAGGAAAAGTCTTATCAAATTAATAACCTAAGCCCTCATTTCAAGAATCAAGAAAAAAAAAAAAAAGCAAAATAAATCCAAAGAAGGTAGAATGAAGGAAATGATAAAGATAAAAGCAGAAATCAAAGAAATTGAAAAAAATAGAGGAAATCAGTGAAATGAAGAGCTGCTTCTTTGAAAAGATAAATAAAATGGACAAACCTTTAGCAATACTGACAAAGAAAAAAGAGAAAAGATAAAAATTACCAATATCAGGGGATACTGCTGTAGGCCCTGCAGATGTCAAAAGGATAATAAGGCAGTAGTATATCAACTCACATGAATTTGACAATCCAGACAAAATGGACCACTTCTTCAAAGAACACAACTATCATAACTCAATACAGATGCAAAAATCCTTAACAAAATATTAGCAAACAATATATAAAAAGATAAGCAATATATACACCCATGACCAAAGGGGCTTTGTTTCCGGGATACAAGGCTGGCTCAATATTTGAAAATCACTGTAATCCACCATATTAACAAGTTAAAGAAGAAAAAAACACATGCTCATATCAATGGATGAAGAAAAAGCAATCCAATACCAATTTGATAAAAAATTCTCAGAAAACATGAATACAGGGGAACTTCCTCAACTTCATAAAGAGAGTCTACCATAGTTTACATTATACTTAATGATGACAGAGTGAATGCTTTCCCTCTAAATTGGGAATAGGGCAAGGATGTCTATTGTCACCATTCTTAGTCAACAGAGTTCTGGAAGTTCTAGTACTGCAATAAGGGAAGAGAAGAAAATAAAAGACAAACAGATCAGAAGGATCTACAAAAAACAAAACAAACCAAGCAAACAAAAACTCTCTTAGAACTAGCATCTGAGTTTAGCAAGATTGCAGGATACAAGATAAACAAAAATCAATTGTATTTCTATATACTAGCAATGAACATGTGGACACCAAAATTAAAAATACCATTTACAATTGCTCAAAAAAATGAAATACTTAGTCATAAATCTAATAAAACATGTCCAGGACATGTATGCTTAAAACTACACAACACTAACAAAAGAAGATCTAAACAAATGGAGAGATATACCATGCTCATGGATGAGAAGACTCAACATAGTAAAGATGTCAATTTCCCCCAAATTAATAAACAGGTTTAAGACAATTCCTATCCAAATGCTAACAAGACTTTTTGTAGTTACAGAGATTATTCTAAAATTTATATGGAAACTCCAAAGAACTAGAATAGCTAAAGCAACTGAATAAAGTGGGAGGATTTCAAGGCTTATTATATATCTACAATAATCAAGACTGTGTAGTACTGACAGAGGGACAGACACATAGATCTATGAAATAGAACAGATAACCCAGAAATAGACCCACACAAATATGCCCAACTGATTTTTTTTTTTTTTTTTTAATGAAGGTACAAAAGCAATTCAATGGATGAAACATAGCCTTTTCAATAAATGGTGCTGGAGCAAAAAGATTAACCTCAACCTAAGTATAACACTTTATAAAAAGTTAATTCAAAATGGACCACAGACTTAAATATAAAATGCAAAACTATGTAATTTTTAGGGGAAAAAAAACCATAGAACAAAATCTTTGGGACCTAGGACTAGGCAAAGAGTTCTTAGATGTGCCGCCAAAGGAAAAACTGATAAATTGAACTTCATCAAGACTTAAAAACTTTTTTTGGTGAAAGACCTGTTAAGATGATGAGAAGACAAACCGTACAGTAGGAGAAAATATTTGCACATCACTTATCTGACAAAGGGCTAGTATTTCAAGTACATACGTTAACTCTCAAAACTGAACAGTAAAAAAACCTAACAATCCAGTTAGAAGGTGGGCAAAAGACCTGAAGAGACATTTCACTGAAGAGGATATACAAATGGAAATCAGCACATGAACATCATTAGCTACTAGGAAAATACAAATTAAAACCACAATGAGGTATCCTTACACATCTATCAGAATGGGTAAAATAAAAAGTAGTGACCAAGTGCTAGTCAGGATGCAGAGAAACTGGATCACTCATATATTGCTGAGGATGTAAAATACTATTATGTATTAATTTCTCTTCATATGAGGTTAGAGAAGGGTACCTGATATCTGAACTATTAATATAGCTTTAAGAATTTTTTTCTTTTTTTTAGGAAACATCAATCGGATAAATCCTCCAAATCCTAAAAAATAATAGATATAAATAGTATCAATACAAAATGAAATTTGTATTTACTGATTATCATATTCCAAGCACTGTTCTAAGCATTCACATGTAATCTAAAAAAATCTATAAATGTATACTATTACCCAAATATTCATCAACTGATGAACAGATCAATAAAATGTGGTATATCCATGCAATGGAATATTATTTGGCAATCAAAAGTAATGAAGTGTTGATACATGCTACAACATGGATGAATCTTGAAAACATTTGCTAAGTGAAAGAAGGCAATCACAAAAGATCACATATTGTTTGCTTTCATATTGCATCATATGAAATGTCCAGGATAGGCAAATTCATAAAGACAAAATAGATTAGTGGTTGCTTAGGGCTGGGGTGGGGGACAAGACTGGGGGATACAGAAGTGACTGCTAATAGGTGCAGAGTTTCTTTTGGGAGTGATGCAAACGTTCTAAAAGTGATTGTGATGAGGGTTGCACAATTCTGTCAATATACTAAAAACCATTGAATTGTACACTTTATATGGATGAATTATATGATGTGTGAATTATATCTCAATAAAGCTGTTAATATTAAAAAACATGTATACTATTATCTCCATTTTGTAGAAGGAAACTGAGACTTAAAGTGGTTAAGTAGTTTGCTTAAAGTCCCAGAGCTGGTAAGGCAAAGAGCTAGAACCTGAATCTAGATTTGTTTGATTGTAAAGTCCATTCTCATTAGTAAGAATACTAGCTACTAAATTTATAAATAGAGCAAATTTAACAATAATTAAATTTATTATTAAGTATCTACAATATGTCAGGGGGGATAGTGGAAAATAAAGTTTAGATAGGGTAAAGTTAGATCATGGAGAGATTTAAAAGCTAGGTAGTAAAATTAGATCTTAATCAGCTGGTTCATTCATTCAGCAAATATTTATTAGGTTCATATTTATAAGCCAGTCATTGTTTTAAGCCTTAAAGATATAGTGATAAACAGGACAAATTCCCACCCTAATATAGCTTACATTTTTGTGAAGGAAAATAGATCATAAATAGAATAAAAACTATCGTATATTTTAAGATGCATGTTTCCTGACATTTTAGCATCTTCTGAAATTAGGATGCATCATATGTGATCAGTGGTATTTTACAACTGACAGTGACTTTTTTGTTTACGTTTTAACAACTCTGAAAGCAGGATTTTTTTTTTTTTTTTTTTACAGTCGATGGTAACTTAGATTCCATAACAACAGTAATAAATATCATAAAGTGGTAATTGCTATAAGAAAATAAAGCAGTGTATGAGATTGAGAGTGGCTAGGCAGTTGTGTGGGAGTGTGGTTTTAGATTGAGTGGTCAAGTTTTCCTTATGGCAGATGACGTTTAAGCAGAAATCTAATTACTTAGAAGAAGTCAGCCATGCAAAATCTGGAGCAAGAGTTTTTCAATCAGAGGGAACAACAGTAAGTGTAAAAACCTTGAATTAGGAATGAGTTTGACATGCTTGAGGAATGGCAAGAGAATCTGTGTAGCTGGAGCCTACTGAACGGAACAAGATGAAGTCAGAGAGATAAACAGAGGGACCAGAAGGACATCTATTAATGTTAAGGGTTTAGATAATGAAATTTCTGAAAGCAGGGGGTTCTTGAGAATAAAGTTATCCCAAGAACATATCAAAACTTTCATATTTGAAAAGATCATGCTATAAGCAAATCCTCTTTAGTTTCTATAACAGTATTAATCCTTCACTCTAATCCTTTTGATCTCAGTATGTGAGTAAATTCTTACTAGGTTCAATATTTTGGAAGCTCATGTAACCCTTTCATGAATTATTTTAAATCTGTTTTCTGAAATATTACTTCTCAGACTTCTGAATAACAGTAATAAAAGCAGGTAAACGAACAAATGTATCAGTTTAAAAAGTTTATTTTGGTTAAAATTTTCCCTATCTTCCCAAACATCTCATTTGACATTGCTAAAAGCCAATCTCTGATTTATTTCTCTTGAAGATTCAAGTAAAGTATTCAGTTCCTGAGCAAAATTCCACTCTAGAAGCAGACCCTTATCCTCTTAGCTTACCAAAAAGGTGAGTACAATTTTACACATTGTGTAAATATTATTTGTGTCTGAGAAGTGAATCTCATGCTTATAACTTATTATGATGCTGGCAAAAGGATGCTGGAAGAGGCTTCTTTGGGGGTATTGTATTATCATTACTCTTTCTGTTTTAGCTCCATAAAAGAAGCAACGATGGTGAACCAACAGAACCAACAAAGGACAAAGGTGGAAAAAGCAGAGGCTTCTTCCTTTGACTTTAAGACTTCTGAAATAAGTGAAAACGAAGGGTTTGTTTTGCACCCTGCTAAAGCGACCACTTCTTTTGACTTTTTGGAGCTAAACTGTGGTTATAACAAAAATGGCGACAGAACCATGAAATGGGAGACAAAAGCACTTCCAATGGCTGGGGAGCCTCTTCAAAAGCATCAAAGTTTGGACTTGAGTTCCATTTTGCTTCAGGCATGTCCTAATTCAAAACCTATAAATACAGCAGGAAGACATTTTAATTCAAAGCGGCCAATAATACGGACCAAATCAACTGGCTTTGAACTGATACAGCAGAGAGAAACAAAAGAGTTGGACATCAAGGAAAATTTTTCTTATTTGGAATCTCATCCGTACAATTCTTGTCCTGTGGAGTTGCAGTCTCAAAAACTGATGCATGCTTCATCAGCAGAACTGAAAAATTCACTGCCAAGTGACCCTAAGCACCAAGCATGTGATGCCTCAAATGTAAAGCAGCATGACCCCAGTGATTTTAGTGTATATTCTTACATGTCTTTGGTAGAAGATCCCTATTTTTCACCATTGCCTTCAGCTAGTGCTGGTTCTAAGATGTCTCTTGATTCACCTGAGAAGCAGGATGGAGCTGTTTTTCCTTCTTCTTTGTTGCCAAAATCCTCTACAACCCTGTTCTCTTATTACAATTCACATGATTCTTTAGTACCAAATCCTCCGACTAATTTTCCCCCACCGCTGAACCAAGAGACAGTAGTAATGGGTAAGTTATTTTTTAAAAGTTTGTATGCCATTTTAGATTTCACTTCATTTCTATAGATTTGGTTTCTCCTCCCTATTTCCTTCCTCTTTCTTCTTCTCTTCGTCCTCCTCCTCAAATAAATAAATTTCAGGAAGGCTTTAATGATGTGAATAAGTTGAGAATAGCGGTATCAAACATGTAATATTCCACAAAACAGGCAGTAGTGAGCAGTCAGATCTGGTACAGGAACTATAGCAGCAGGTGTGCCTCTAAAGAAGGCAATCCTCATTCCTAGAAACGTTATCTCAAAGACCCACAATGAGAAGCAGTTTCCAAAAGAACAGCAGAAAAGATTTGGTCAATAGCGCCACAAGGGCCACCCAGAATTTTTGTTGTACAATCATTTGGCTATAATGAATTGAACATATTGCTAAGAATTGAATTCCTCTCCTGCAGGAGTTGGAAAAGGAGGATCTAATTTCCAGCCTTTTAGAGTAACTTATACTATACTATATACTAGTTGCCATCGGGTCAATTCTGACCCATAGCAACCCTAGAGGACAGAGTAGAACTGCCCCATAGGGTTTACAAGGAGTAACTGGTGGATTTGAACTGCTGACCTTCTGGTTAGCAGTCTGAACTCTTAGCCACATGTGCTCAGTATTCTGTGTAAAATTTTTATTTTATCTACACCTTTACTTTCATGCTTTCTCTTTTATAGTTGTGTATCTTTGCATACTATACACATTGTTTTATTTTACTGGGTGATTTGAAAGCAGAAGTGATTTTCCTGTTAGAGATTATTATAATAGTTTTATGTGGAAGAAGGTGAGGGAAAGCAAAGAGCAAGTTTAAATCTCTTAGGTATAGCATCAGATAATTTACAAAGAAAATTCTACCTGGATAGGAAGTAGAGAAAACTTTTGTTTTTATTGTACAGAGTTTCTTAACAGATATCATCATTTATTGTACAGAGTTTCTTAATAGATAGATATGCAATTCATTTGTAGCTTTGTTGCAAAAATATTTTACCTGGATCTAGGAAGTTCTTCCTTTGATTATATTATTTTATATATTTTGATCTTGTTTTTGAACTTAAAGGTATTTTCTTTTTCTAGGTGCCCATAATACCTTACACTTCTCTCAGCATCAACATACAAACCCTTATCTTCAAGGATTGTAGCAACATTGATATGTGTGCCATCTGGTGGCAGTTTCTTACAATAGCCTTTAAAAAACCATTTTCTATAAAAATTCTGAACATTTCTATAGAAATATAGAAAACTGTTATACTATTGTTTTGTGAAAAGGAAAAGCATCCATATTCTTGGCTTCTGTGTAGAATGAAGGACAGATGCTAAAATGTTTATGAGTTTATTTACTATGTAACCGAATCTTTGCCATATCAAGGTGCTTTGTAATATACTTAGTGACTCAGTGAAAATACTTCCAGGCTTTTAAAAGTAATAACACATGTTGAACAATAAGCAAAAACCTCCTGGGTTTGCAACTTAAGATGAGAGGATTTATTTTGTTTTTTCCTTGAGTGATATTGATAGTGCCTTAAGGAATTTAACCAAGATTAGAATATAAGAAATTTCTTTGGATTGTTCTAATTAAAAATTGCGATTATATCTCTGACATTCTGGATAGCAACTTCTCCAAAGACAGATGATGAAATCCCCCCTCCACTGCCTGAACGGACACCTGAATCTTTTATTGTGGTTGAGGAAGCCGGTGAGTACAGTTCAGTAAGTGTGGATGAACCAGATTACCTTTCAGGTCCTTTCAGTGTTCTATGTGTTACTGCTGAGTAATATTTGCTTTCTAAAATAACAATGCTTCTAGGAATTGGACCATATTTACTTTTTTCCAGGAGAAATCCGACCGAGTGCTCCCAAGCCCTTATCTTCAATTGTGAAGGTAAAAATGGGAACATCACTGGAATGGAGTGGAACATCTGAATCAAAGAAATTTGATGACTCTGTGAGACTTAGACCAAGCAAGGTCAATCATTTTTTTTCTGATTCTACTAATTTGGATTCAACCAACTATTTCATTTTAACACCTACCATTCAATTAAGCAGATATTAACTATTTATAAGACAACATGCTAGAAGGTGTGGGAGATAAAAAGATGCATAAGACACAATTCTTGCCCTTGAGGAACTTATAGTCTACTACTGCAGATATAGGATATGTACAAAAGTCTTTATTTTTTGTCTATATTTATTATAACAAGGCAAATGTGGTCAGTGCCACATGAAATATAAAGAGATTTGGAGTGTGTGAGATACCTTCAGGTAGGCAGTGATCAAGGAAAGATTTAGTGAAAGAAGAAACACTTCAGTTGAGTCTGGAAGGATGGTAAGGCAAAAATAAGAAATTTTTCATAAATAGATCGCTTGTTCATATTAGTCATTTGGTAGACTGTATCATGTTAACTGTAATAATGCGTTCCTTTTTATAATTGTGGATGTTTGCATATTATGCATATTGTTTTGTTTTGGGAGTAATTTTTTTAATAAGAGACGTGCATATTAAGATTAACCTTTTGGAACAATGTTCCCTGCTTCTGGCAGAAAAATCTATTACTTCTAACAATCTATTATGCATCTCTGTATATTCTATGGACCAATCATCTTAAAATTTCAGATGTCAGAAAAGTAATTAACTAAATAAACATTTAAAAGTACCTACAATTGTATGGTAGGCAACTATTCTTCTACCTTTTTAAACTGCCATTTTAAAGTACTAATAATTGCTTTTATTGTTGTTAATAATCTGCACACATGTACTGATCTTTATCTTAACTCCAAGAGAAAAGACAATCATACCCTTTCCAATGTCCTGAAATAACTATTCAATTTCAACAACTAACCTCTAATTAAATTTTCCGGGAAATGTTCTAAGTAGAAAGAAAATAAATAACTCAGAGGGGATCAATTTAGGACTAATTGCTATAGGCTATAACAATCACTGTAAGAGTTAAGGATAACTTTTCATAATTCAGCACACTTACGAATTAGGAAAAATAGGGCCTATATTTTATAACTATCTTCATAGGTACATGAAATATAATGTCAAATATGTGATTTATTGCTTTGAATTTGAATAGATTTATGTACATATTCTTGTCTCACTTTTTCCTTTTCTTTTTTAGAGTGTAAAACTCCGTAGTCCCAACTCAGGTAAAAATAATTTCCTTTGTCTTTAGATGACATTTAGCTCTAAGAATCTATACTGTAAAAATGGCTTATTAAGTTTAGAGTAATTCACCTCAGGAGACATCAAGGTTTCCATAATAGCTTCCACTATTTATTGATTTATTTTTGGTTTTCCCAGGCTAGGAGTTTTGTTTTGTCAAGGGCAAGGTGAAGATAAGGTTTCAGAATTCTGCTCCTTGATATATAACCCTTTTAAAATATTATTTCAAATAGAATCTCTTTTATAATTTTGTTTATTATCTAATATCCAGACTGTGTTGAATTTTTTCCAGTTATCTCAAAAATGCCTTTTTATATAGTTGGGTTTATTTGAATCTAGATTGTCTACACGCTTCACTTAGTTTATGTTTCTTAAATCTTTTAATACGTAACAGTTCTCTTTTTATATTTTCTCACATCAATTATTTGTTCAAGAAAGTGGGGCATTTGTTCTAAAGACTGTTAACATTCTGGATTTGGCTAATTGTATTTCCATGGCTTTATTTAACACGTCCCTCTACCTGCAGAATTTCCTATACTAATGTAGTCAGATCTAGAAGCGTGATTAAACTCAGGTTCAAATTCTTTGAAAGAATATTTTTGTAAGGGAGGTGTGACGTGTAAGTTTTTGATGAATCAGAGGCTCACTGGCTGAAAAACTAGAAGAACAAAGTTCTTCAGGTACTAGTCATTGTCCTCTGGGGTCGCTATGAGTCGGAATCGACTCAATGGCAGTGGGTTTGGTTTTTGGTCTGGTTTAGATTAATACTGAATAATTGGAAAAGTTGTCCAAAGCTAAAAGAGGTCTTGACTTATGAATTTTAACTGATGGATTTCTTTGCTTTGCTGTATATACTCTTTTTATCATAGAGCTACATCGAGATCGTTCTTCTTCCCCACCACCTCCTCTCCCAGAAAGAACCCAGGAGTCCTTCTTTCTTGCTGATGAAGATTGTAAGTAGCAGTACTGTCTCTCAAAAAAAAGTTAGAAAAATGAGAACATTAAAGGTTAATAATAAAGTAGCATCTAAATGGAAAAGGTATAAAGAATGATTAAGTAAGGTAAAAAGAATAGATTAAAAAAGCCATAATCTATACTAAAGATAATGTCTAAAAAGGCCAAGCTAAGAATTACTAAATATATACCTATATAACTTGAAAGCTTAAGAAACTATGCAACAAAACACTTTTTCTTTTCTTTTTTTCCTTGTCTGTCTGTTTTGTAGGTATGCAGGCCCAATCTGTAGAAACTTATTCTACTAGCTATCCTGACACCATGGAAAATTCAACATCTTCAAAACAGATATTGAATACTCCTGGGAAAAGTTTCACAAGGAGTAGGGTAAAGAACATGGGAGTTTTAGAAAACATGTCAGAGTCTTTCCATTACTGAAAGTTTTCCTCCCCTATCATTATGATGGAAAATAAGATAATCTTCACAATGGATTGCTGGTCTCATAGTAATCAAAATTAATAGAATCAAACCAAAAAGAAGAAAACAACACAACTTAGTTAACTGAGTTTATTTCTCACTAAGATTAATTTATACATTGAAAACATATCAAATAAACATACTAACTTTTTTTCCCCTAGAACTAGACAAACTAGTCCAAAATTCATATGGGGGGAAAAAAGAGCAAGAATAGCCAGAAAACTAAAAAAAAAAGAGGCAATGAAAAGAAGATAGCCTTACCATATATTAAAACATTGTAAAGCCTCAACAATTAAAATGATGTATGTTACTGGTGCATGAAAATAACCACATACCAAGAGACGAGAACAGAAATCACAGAAAAGAGATCCAAATATTTTTAGGAATTTAGTATATGATGAAGATGGCATCTCAAATCAGTGGGAAAAAGATGGACATTTTAATAATTGGTATTGCATCAACTGCATAACCACCTGGTGTGGGGGGCGGGGGAACAAAAACTAAAGTGGGATCCATATCTCACACTTACCCCAGAATCAATTCTAGGTGGATAAAATATTTAAATTTAAAAAAATAAGAACACAAAAC